TTGCCCAACCTTCCTTCCGAGGAGTGGCTGGTGGGTTTGAACCGCCAGCCATCTGGTTAGCAGGCAAGTGTCTTAGCCACTATGCTACCAGAACTTCTGTATAGTACGTACATTTCAAGGCTTCAAAGTACACTCTGCTCTATTTTCTTTCCTTTTTTCAGGTGTTTTCATACTTTTTTTTTCTATACAGACACAGGTTTTCATTTTAAAAAGTTGAAAATGAACTATATAAACAATTTTAAAATCCTTGAGAAGATTCACATTCATACAGTTCAAAAAGTATAAAAAGGCAACAAAGTGAAATATCACCCTTCGCTTTCTCCATTCACAGGTAACAACTGTTACACATAAAACCACATATAGACACGTGAAGTAAGTATAAGTAGTAATGCTGTAAATGTGTATGTGCTATACAGGCTATGAGACCCTCTTCTATTCTTACTAAAGAGAGGACTGTATAAACAGAGGGCTGTATTTCTCCTTTCCTATGACACTGCTGCTCTTTTCATTCAATGAGCCCTAATAAATATCTTCACTCTACATCTGACTATCAAATGGTTCACTTGATAAATTTCATCACTGCCCTAAATAGTGCAAAAGCACAGGTAATTGGGAAATTATCCCTTGTAGCTATTCACTTTAAGATCATCCAAACACTCAATGGCTCTAAAAACATTTACTTAAATATTTATTGAGCATCTGCTCTGTACAGGCACTAAAAAAGTACCAAGGAAGGACCATTCATAATTCCTTTAATGATGGCAGTATTTTCCCAAATTCTTAAAACCAGTGGGGGTGTGGGGGGGACATTATATTATGTAAAAAACCCACATAAATAGACTTTGAATGATAAAAATAGTGCTCTCCATCCTTCCACTTCCCAAAAAGGACATCCATTTGCCAATCTTCCAAATAATGGATTTATCTTAGCAAAAATTATTAACATAATAATGAAAGCAGCAAAGGAAATAAACTACCTTGTTCTTCAGGTGAGAGGTCATTATCTTCCTCCCCACTGCTTTCTTGTTCCTGAACCCGATACTTTGGCTCTGAGCCTTCGGCAGCAAATAATCTACACAATAATCATTTACAGAAAAATCAACACTGTATTATTCTTACATTATTATAGTATCATATTCAACTTTTGAGTTTCATAAAAACAACTAAAGATCATTAATATGCTAGCTATGACTGGATGAGGAAAATGAAAATCAAGAAAGTAGGAATGGGTTACTAGAAATCAATGGATAGCAAAGCAAGAAAACTTTTGTTTAATCAATTTATTCACTTTCTCACCACCATCTTTAAAACCCAGGTGGCAGGATATTAAAAAACCACAGAGAATTGACTCATCTCAGTATCTCAGGTTAAAGTACTCTAATATTCCTACCACCTGTATACCTTGTCTTTAATGAAGAAACAAGATCATAAGGTTGGTATGAAAAATCCAGATAAACTTAGCATGTTTCCTATTGTACAAGAAAAACAATGTAAAATATCTTTAAGTATGCACAATTAAAAACAACACAAGCAAAAACACTTAATAGTCATCAGTACTTACTTCTTTGCTAAGACCTCAGGGGTCATAGTTTCAGTGGTTTCTGAATCACTCAATGCATCTTCATCATCACCTATCATACTAGGATGACAAGCATATTATAATTAATACTTGAAACAATTCTGCAAGCAGAAAAACAAGATAAAGAAACATCATTCTTTTTACTTAAAATATTAACATATTTACAGCTCTCTTGATATCTTAGAAGTTTAATTTGTTTCTGTTCAATGCAATATTCCAAAGCATAGCACCAATCAAGAAAAGCTTCTAATTGATAAGTATAAAATTACTGGAAACTTGAATCTTCTGGGGGAAAAAAAAAAACCTACGAAGTTTCAACTCTCCTACCTAGTGGAAGGGAAGAGATAATTTTTTTTTTTTTAATTTTATTTTGATTTGGGTGAAGATTTAGAGTAAATTCACTTTTCATACAGCAGTTCACATACACTTTGTCTCATGTCATTGACCAAAATTTACAATGCAGTAGCTCCCCTCCCACTTCCTCCCCATAGTTACCTCTTCCCAGTGTCCATCC